CAGTCTTGATTCAGCAAAGCATGTGACAACTTTAGGAGATATTTAAATCCATTCCATTTAATGTGCTTAAACTCATCCTCTCAGAGGGAGTACATGTCTTTGGGCTTCTCCCTTCCCTCTTAGATGGGAGACACGTACTTACATCTCCCTGCAGCCAATAGCAGTTGATTAGATGTTTACATGCTTTGCTGAACTGACAATGTAAAAAATCATAGCGAGATTTTGTGTGATAAAATAACCATAATCTGCCCAGTGGCTGCCAGCATGAACAAATAAGTACAAGCTAGCCTTGAACGTACTGCAAGCTTGTGTGAGTACTGTGGGGAGCGGGAATTTTCACCTGGCTGTAGAGTAGTGCAATTTCCACTGATAAACTAACAAAACAGGTTTCATCTGCTCTGATGAGTGAAAGCAGAGGGTTTGCCCCTTTGGGGCTTGTAGGGCCGCCAGGAAGCTCTCAGGGTGTGTTCTGTGGACAGGCCGTCGTGTCCTCGTTGCTGACACTCAGCCGGCGGCCCTACTGACCCCGGAACGGCAGTAACACTCTCGTAGCTGGACAGGACCCGACGCCCGTGCCCCGGAACGGCAGCGCGACGTGCTGTGTGAGCACCGGCAGTGTGTGGGGTGGCCCATGGCAACCCGCTCCCCGAACCCGGACGGGCAGCCCTGCCGCGCCCCGCCGGTGCTCAGCGGTCGGCTTGGTGTCAGACGCGGGTCCCCATGGGGCGGGGGAGGCGCTGAGGGTGCTGCTCCCCAACCCCGTGTCCGCCCCACGATGCTGCCCGTCGCGGTGCCGGCGGGAGCAGTTCCCCTCAGTGGCCACCAGGTGGCGCCGTGACCACACGGCGCTGCGGCCCCGGCACCGCGCCCCCCCCCGCACGGCCCCGAGGCGCTCAGTTCCACCGAGGGGGGAACACCGGGTCCCGCACCCCCCGTCCCGGGCACCCCGCGGGGGTCCCCCCTTTCCTCCCCCCTCTTGCAGGCCAGGCGGGAGGAGATTTCCTTCAGTGCCCCCTGCTTCCCACCCGCGGGAGTTAACCCTGCCCCGGGCCAGCAGAGAGGTGAGCCCCATCCCGGGCAGGGCAACCCGGGGTCCCCAGTCCCCAAGGGGCAGGGGGGCAGGAGGATAAAAGCTCCTACTCGAAACGTTTCCATCTTGGTCACCTGCTATTGGTTCTTCGAGGCAGCTGGGGTAAAAGTGGGGTTCTGTCCTTATCGTGCTGTGGACAAACTCTCTGCCTCACCCCAGAGACATCCAGGCCCCTTCCTCCTGATCAGAGCATCATATCCCAGCCCTCAGTCTTTTGAGCCTTTTTCTTCTCCTCAGGAGCAAGCCAGGAACAAGGAATAAAACACCCTGTGTAGCTGAACAGTGTCATCACCTGCAAGGGCGGGCATTGGATTCATCTGTGGATGGGAAGGTTTTGAATTGAAACAGGAGCTTGTTTGCTATAAGGAAAATAGTCATGAAAAGTGCCTTTTCTGCAGAGGATACGGTGAACTGCTCCCAAACCCCCAAGCCCCTTTCACCTCTGCATCAGCAGAAAGTGCAGGTATGTGCTCAGAGTGCTCTGCTTTTGGTCCCACCTTGAGAGGAGAGGCTGCTTTTCCCTTTTCCCTCATCGGCACAGCTCCGTTGTTCATCTGCCTCCTTCTGAGAAGAGCAGGAAAGAGCATGGTCCCTTTGGGGGTGTCTCATCCAGCTGCAAAGGTCAGGGAGGAGAGAGCAGAGGCTTTTCTCTTGGAAATTCCTATTTCCAACCACTTCTTTCCTCCCTTAGGGTCTGGGCAGAGCAAAGCAGTGCCTGACTTGTCCCACTGTGCTGGGAGCCCCGTGGCACAGGGAGAGGGACTGGAGGCAGGAGGAGGGAGTTGTTCTGGATAAACTCCAGGTCAGAGGGGAGAGGGGCCTTGGGCCCACTTGAAACTGTGTCAGGGCAAGGGAGAGGCCTCTCCCCATGCAGGAGACTCCTGTGCTCTGAGACCTCTGCCTCCAGCCTCACAGGGGCTGTGCTTGTCTCCTGGATTTAGACCTCCTTCCATGGCCCCTTGTTCAAAGACCTCAAAAACAGCTGGTCCCCAGGAGCCCTGTTTTCTCCTGTATAGGACATGCAAGCCAGGGCTGGCCCTTTCCTCCTCCTTTCCAGTGTCACCCCATCCCAGCTTCTGTCATGCCTGGGGACCATGTCCTGGTCCTGTTTATAAACTGCTCCTGCCTGTGCTGCAAAGCTGCAGTTTATGGGTTTGCATTGCTGGGGTAAAATCCACAGCTCAGCTGTGTGGCTCTTGCTTGCTTTGGGAGAGAAGCATTTCCTCACCCCTGGGAGCAAATCACAGCCTGCAAACTCTGTGTGTGCTTAATTCTGCACTGTATGTTGGGAGCGTTTCACTTGCAGGGAACCTCTCTGCAACGTGCCCGATGTCCTTCTGCAGCAAACCAGCTCAGTGCCAAGCCCCAGCAGCCCACCAGGGATCCCCCCATGGCAGGCTGCGAGCATCCTCCCGCTCCTTTGCCATGCTGAGGGAAGGACAAACCCAGCCTTCCACATGAAACACCCTCCGGCCTCAGCACCGGCAGTGGTGCACACGCAGCAGCCTCTCTGCTGCAGTCAGAGTGCGGTGGTTTTGATCCAGAGACCGGACCCAGGAGTGTAGAGTGCTAAAGACAACTGGGAATTCTTAAAAATGCCAGCCCTGGTGTCCTGGGGCTGGCCCCTGTGGGTGGATGGAGCACAGAAGTCTCCTGCCAGCTCCTATTTTTCTTTTTCTCTCTTTTTTTTTTCCCCTAAAAAGTCCTGACTTTCTCACCCCCTCCTTGTTTCAGCCCTGCTTTTCTTTCACACTCGTCCTGTGGGGGTCGAGCAGTGTTTAACTCTTTCTCTCTTGCAACAATTAGTGGCTTTGAGACTTTCTAAGACCCAGGTGCGGCATCCCCCCAGCCTCAGCAGGAGCCTCCAGGAGCTGGCTGCGTGTTGAGCACAGAGGAACGTGTATGTGTGTGTGCAAGGAGGAACATAGCGGAGAACTTGTCACTTTTATTGTCGTGGCTGGCGGTCCCTGCCCGGTGGAGCTGTTGTCAGAGTGCTCCTGGGATGGTGTTCCCTGCAGCATCCAGGAAAAGGCACGGAAACGGTCCCCTGATCCTCTGAACAGATCTGAAGGGCAAAATCTGCCAACTGCTTAGTATATTGATTCAAATGCATTATTCCTCCCTGGGCAGATCCCGATCCTGGGAAAGGAGCAATCAGTGCAGGTGCAAATAGCTTTTAATTGCAAAATGTATCTCACCATGGAGGCATTTATGCTGGATATGATACAAGTGATAGAGCAGCAGCCGGAGGAAAACCAATATGCCAGAGCACTGCAGGGACCAAACTATTTCTATGCAGTACCTATGGCGTAAATATTCATGTATGGCTGTTCTTCCACATATCCCTGAGATATGACACAGTAGCATTATGTGAAGATTCAAATATCATCTGCAGGGAATGTGAAAACTTGCTCTTTGTAACGGTTCCCGTGTGAGAGTGCAGCATACTTGGGATGTGGATGTTTCGTGTGTGGACTCTCCTAAAGCCACATCGGCTTTGGGGCTCGGCCGCAGTTTAGCCTTGCCAGAGAGGTGCTGGAAGTAGATTGTGCGCCTACTTTGGGGATCTTTGTTATCTCTGGCTGAGGTTTGGCTGTGTGCTCAGATTCCGCTGCAAACAAAGTGATGTACAGGTGACTGGAAGAATGCCCTAGGGAGTTGTCAGACTGCTTTTAGGGTGCCTACGGGGCTGTATCCCGACGTTTTTGTAGCGTGCTGTCCCTGGGCTAGCTGTGCCCAGCGGGGTTCTGCGCGGACCCTGGAAGGGGCGGTCGGCAGCCGCCTGCCCCACCACCCCCTGCAGCTCCCGGGCAGCATCTTCTGCACCTCGGAGTGGAGGAGAAAGGCGGGGCACGGAAGCAGGCAGAGATAGCCCAGGCACTTCAGTGGTTACCGGCCCCAAAGCTCAGTCCGGGGGTCCCCGTCACCCCTCCGCGGTTTGACATCGCCATGGCTGAGGGCGGGTAGCCCGGGATGCGCCGTGTTTTGTTTCGTTACATGTGCAAACTCCTCGCAAGCCCTTGTTCGGGGGGATAAAACCCGCGCAGCGCAGCCCGTTCCGCGGCAGGAGCCCGCACCGGAGGCGGTGGCCAGAGCCCGGCTACTGGAGCCGCTGGCGAGGATGCGAGTTGTGCTGCAGGGGCAATGGAGGATGATGCGGGGAGCCCGCGGAGAGGTGCGGGCACTGAGCCCGCTGCGTCGCCACTCCGCCAGCCCAGCGGTTCCCCAGGGAGGGCAGGAGCTGGTTCTGGTGTTATTATTTTCCCTAGGAAATAAAAACAACCGGACTTTCTTCCTGAGCTGTCCCGTTAGGAAATGTGCTGCTCCTGCAGAGCCCCGCACCGCTGCCCGGGAGTGGGGCAGGGACGTTAGAGCGGGATGATGGATTCAGTGGGGATTTGGAGGCTCCACTCGTGTTTCCAGAGGCGCCGGTGCTGGGGATAACCCGTTGTACGGGACGTGACCGCGGGGCATCCCCTGCTTTGGTGGACAGCCTGGCGCTGATGAGGGAGCGGAGAGAGCTCGGACACCTCGCGGTTAGCGCTGCCGCTTGTCCCCGCGGCTGTGTGGGAGCGCGGAGCCCTCCCGGCGAGGGGCGGCCCCGGGGGCTGTGGGGGAGATGCGGTGCGGGGAGCGGGGTGTCCGCACCCCAAGCCCCGGCTGTCCCTGGAGCAGCGCCGCCGCCTCGCCCACGAACAAAGGCGCGATCCCGTTAGTGCCGGTGCACCCCCCGCCCCGGGGGGGCTTCGGGGCAACTTTCCCCCGGGCCGTCTGGGAGGGGCTATGCTAATGAGAGGGGCGCGGCCTCGCCCCCGCGCTGGCTCTTTGCGGGCAGTCATTGGCTGCTGCGCCGCGGGGGTGGAGCGCTGACGCGATGTAAATGAGGGGGCGTGGCGTCTGCGGCCCCGCCCCCCGCCCGCCGGGGCTGCGGGGCTCGTGTTCGGCGGCGGGGACAGTCAAAGTGGCTCCCATAGGGAGAGACGGCGAGTCCGCCCGGCGCTGCGGGAGAGGGAGGGGGCACCGGGAGCCCCAGGGTCTCCCTCCGGCCGTCCGTCCGCGCCGCCGCCGCGGGTGCGCCCCTCTCGTTCCCTTCCCGGCGTGCGCCCGGCTACGGCAACTCGCTTCCTGCGCTGCTGAAGGAGGGAGGAGAGAGGAGCGAGGAGCGAGCGCTTCGGCTGGGAGAGGAGAGGAGAGAAGAGAAGAAAGAGGGAGAAAAGAAAGAAAAGAGAGAGGGGAGGAAGGGGGGGAACTTGCCTCTCTTGTCACTGGAAAATGACACTTGATGTAGCAGAGCCTGCCGCAGCTCCCGTTCGTCCTATTGTTTCTTAAACTGCATCTGAGATTTTTTTTTTTCCTTTTGCTTCTTCTTCCTTTTTTTTTTTTTTTTCTGCTGCCATCCGAAGGGGGGGTTTCATACAAAAGGGACTTCAAGTACTCCTCCGGCTTGCGAGAGCTGCAACCAGCCCCCAGCACCCCGCCAGCCCCTCCACGCACCCAAACAAACTGCACACGCAGCGAACAGCAGCGACAAAACCGGGCTCTGATTGCCTCTGGATTTTTTTTTCCCCTTAATGTGCGTGCCTGTATTCGCTTTCTCTGACTTGCTTTGATTCCAGAGATCAGCTGCAGAGAGAGAGAAAGACAGAAAAAGCCCTGTGTAACAGCCCGCTGGCGATTTCATCACTTTTTTTTTGGTTTTTTGAGTAAAGAAGGAAGATTTGCGCTGTTGTTTCTGATTCATGTTTGGGATTCAGGAAAGCATCCAGCGGAGTGGGAGCAGCATGAAGGAAGAGCCCCTCGGCGCGGGGATGAACGCGGTGCGGACGTGGATGCAGGGAGCCGGCGTCCTGGACGCTAGCACGGCCGCTCAGAGGTAGGCAGGCTCCGCGCCCGCGCCCCGGCAGCGCGGCTCCCCACAGGCAGCCTTTTCCCCCCTACACCAGCCCAAAAGCCGGCTCTGGAGCTCTGCTAACAGCAGGGAGCTTCGCGTAGAAGTGGCCAGTTAAATATTTATTCCTCCTGTCCCGTAGCAAGGACTTTTTATCAAATAGTGACAATAATGACAGCAGAGGAGGCAGCCAGCCTCGCTAGGCGAGAATAGGTGTGTTTTAATCTCTCCAACCCACTGTGTTCGCGCGGAGGAAGTAGTTTCCAAAACTATGTTTGCTGCTGATTTAGTCTGAAGATCTCCAAATAACGTTTTCCTCCTCCGATAAGCAGCGACTTGTGCACGGAGGTATCCAAAATATATTTCCCTACCTCTCTCTCTTATCCTACCCAGAATCAGCAGCCTCCCTTCTCCTCCTCCGATAAGCTGGAGTTTTGCAAAGCTTTGTCGGAGAGAAATCTAATTCGAAGTCCCTTTGTAAAACCACTGTCACTTATCTTAGATTTTTAACAAGAAATCCTTTTAAAGAGGAGGTGGGTTTGTCGAAGCTGTGCCCAGACTCGCTTTCTCTCTCATTTCCCCTTCTCCTCATCTTTTTCCCTTCGAAAGAAAAAAAAAAAAAAGGAAATAAAAATAAAGAAAAAGGAAAAAAATAGAAGGAAACCCTGATGCGGATTCGCAGCCTGAGCCCTGGAGCCGGCAGCAGTTTAATGTTGACATCTCCCGGTGTCTCCCACCTCGCCCCGCACCCCTCCCTCTGGAGCCCTCTAAGGAAGGGAAAGTTTCTGCAGGGACAACCCTGAAATATTTCAAGTTGTCTCCTCGGCTCTTTACCCACCGCCCGGCCAGGGGAAGGAAAGCTCGCAGGACCGAAACTGAAAGACCAGGCACATGGGCGCTGGGCTGACAGCTCCGAGCCGACTTTGAGAAGTGGCAGGAGCGATGCCGCTCCGCGGGGCAGCGCGCCGGCGGGGCTGAGCGCGGCTCCTCTCCATGCAGGGCCGGCGGCGGGCGGGCACGGCCCCCGGGGAGGGGTGGTGGGTGCCGGGGGGGCGGCTCGGGGATCACCGGAGGGCGGGATGGGCTCCGGGCTCAGCCGCGCTCCCGGCCGCACAAGGGATTCACTGTGGCAAAGCACGGCTTTCCTCTTGCCCGGAGAAAAGAGCCCCGGGGGGACTCATTGTGTATGTGCGGGATGCTCAGCTCCGGGGGAGCCCAGCCGGGCCCGGCGGGGGAAGGCACGGGCCCGGGAGCCGGCTGTGGGGGTGGAGAAGGGGATGTGAGGCCGCGTCGTCGGGGCTGCCGCTAACCCGCGTCCCTCTGGTCCCAGCGGAGTGGGTCTGGCTCGGGCTCACTTCGAGAAGCAGCCTCCTTCCAACCTGAGGAAGTCCAACTTTTTCCACTTCGTCCTGGCTCTGTACGACCGGCAGGGGCAGCCCGTGGAGATCGAGCGCACCGCCTTCGTGGGCTTCGTGGAGAAGGAGAAGGTGAGTAGCCTTGCGCCCCGCTGGGGCTCGGCCGCCTTCACAGGGCCCTCCCCACTCTGCTCCCCGGGGCCGCGTCTCTGGCGCCTGGCTCTTCCCCAGTCCCGAAGGACAGCCAGGGAGGGGGTTTTCCCTGATCCCTTGCTATGCCCGGGGCAGGGAAGAGGGGGTGACAGCCGCCCTATCCACCCCTGGGGACACCCGATGTGTGAGTGATGGAGAAGCTTCATATGTTTGGTTTTTTTTTCTTCCTTTTTCCTCCGGCGTCCCGTGTCCTTTTTGACTTCAGGAAGCCAACAGCGAAAAGACCAACAACGGGATCCACTATCGCCTGCAGCTGCTCTACAGCAATGGTAAGGGCTGGGAGCCCCTGGTGTCAGCCCCATCACCTCCTGTTGCCTCCTCGGCTGCAGAGCCCACCAGAGGCTGGGAAGCAGCTTCCCACTACTCCCCTCGCCCCGCGCATCCTTGCGGCCTCGGCCAAGCGCTGCTGGGACCTGGGCAGCCTCGAGCAGGAGCCCCAGCGGGCCCGAGCCCTCTGGCGAGCCCCGGCGCGTTGCCGGCAGCCGGCCCCGCTCCTCACACCTGTGCCTTGTTTCAGGGATCAGGACGGAGCAGGATTTCTACGTCCGACTCATCGACTCCATGACCAAGCAGGTAGGTGTTGCGGAACGGCCGCGGAGGGGTGCTGGGGAGGTGGCAGCCGTCGGGGTGGCCCCAGGGAATGCAGTGGGGCGGCCCGCGGAGGCGAAACCCGCCCCCGGAGCGGAGTGGCCCTGGCACCACGGTGAAAAGGCTGCGGGGAAGTGGGTCCTTGCTCTGTAGCGGCAGGGGCTGCGGGGCCTAGCCGCGGGGCCGACCCCGGTGATGGGGCTGTGCAGAGGGTCCTCGCTGGACCCTGCCTACCGCAGCGCTTAGGGAGCGCCGGAAAATGGTGCTCCTAAAGGCGATGCTGCAGCCGCCCTTGTTCAGGCTGGGGCCGAGTTTACAGTTTAATTAATAAGCATTAATCTGCGGGCTCCCCCGGCGCACCGAGCTCCGTCAGCGCCAGCCGCTGCCCAGGCGCGGGGGCTCCGTCTGTCCGTCCGCTCGTCCTGTGTTCGCGCCTCCGCCGGGCCCCGGGTGAAAGGAGCGATCAGATCGGGGCACGTTCGCCTGTCGGAACAGCCCCCCCCCCGAAATGCGTGTCGGGCTGCGGGTCTTCAGACCCCGGCAGTGGCTTACCCCTAGTTGTAAGTTGCTCTTTAGCTTCGCCCCCGGCGTGTGCCTACCTGTACAATATACTTTCCTGTAGGAAAACAGCATTTTTACGAAGGGAGTATCCAAAGAAATCGATTCTCCCTTTTTCAAAAACATTGCTACTCCAGCATATTCTTCTGCTTCTGTCAGAACATTTTCCTCTTCTGTTTTTTTTTAAGTAGTTGGGATGCTCTTAAGTCTTTTAATCCTTAAGATACGTTTTTCCCCCTCCTAAACTGTTGTACTTGTTAAAGAAAATTCTTAAATTTTATTTAGGAAAAAACATCCAGCTTTTTCTGTACCGATAGGAAAAGTCAGCTCCTGTATGTTGTCTGTAGGGAAAAAACCCTTGGCTTGTATTTTTTCTCTACAGCAAAACATAAAGCTCTAAGGGCTGAGTTTGTTTTAGAAAACTCTCTTTGATGGTCCCAAAACATCTTTTCCTGCTATTGAAGATTGTCTTTCAACAGTAAAAAAAAAAAAAAAAGGAAAAAGGGAACTTGGATGAATTTTACCAGACAATCCGCTATGTGTCTGAACTCTGTTAAACTACACACTTCTAAACACAGCCCATTCCCTGAAGGAATTAAAACAGCAGCAACATGCTCTTCTTCATAACAAATCTTGAGAAAGCATTTGCTGCCATTCCTTGTTTTTGAGGCATGGAATGGTTCGTTTGTGCTAAAAGTAACAAATCTTCCTGCTATATGAACTCTTAGTCCTTTTGGGGCTTATGTCTTTCATATGAGAGAGACTATCAATAAATATCATCTCGAAATAGCTCTCCTATCGTTACGGAAATGCAAAAGCCTCTGCTCATAACCCTACTGAAAACAGAGCCCTGAACTCATGTAGAGCAGCGGATTCAAAATAATTTTCTTAACAAAGGCATCTTGCATATGAAGAGTTCATCCTAAGGCACTGTTTGACCTCTTGGTCTTTCATTATTATCAAGTCATCAGAGGGTCTTTGGAAAGAAAGGGGGAAAAAAACCCGAGATACAGTTTATTTGTAAAACCTACCATGTAGCTTTAAAGCACATTCACAATGAAGAAGGAGGTGGGGGGGGAAAAGTCTGTCTGATTTCAGGAAGTCTTAGGAAAACAAAGTTAGTACAAATTACAGATTTTGGGGAAAGTGCAGTGGGGTTGAGAAGGACGGATTTATGAACAAAAGCTCTTCGAACTCAGGTTAGGAAACAGGGAGTGCAGGGCTATTTTAGCCACAAACATATTTGCTTACGCAGTAATTTCATGTATATAATTTCATTAGGCAGGACTATAACTGCTTATGAAAAACAGGGCATTGTCATGTCAAAACTGTGGTGTGTGCGGCTCCCAGATTTTTTGGGGGCCCAGGGGCTGGATTCTCCCTCTTCTTTTTTAACTCTTCCTTTTGGAAAGTGAAATTATTTCTGATTTGGGATCACTTTGGTGGCTGAATGCTTATTAGGAAGTGAAGTACAACACATGACAGAAGCTCACCCAAACGTTGAATATATCATTTATAGTTCACGACAGTGAATTATACAGAAGATCTCGAGTAACTTTCAAATCATCAAACTGTAATTAAATATTGCAAAGACTGTCTGAAAATTCTTTAATTTTTAATGAAAGTTAAATGTATTGTCAGTCTGCTTGAAGGTGTAGTATTTTAATGCATGACGCTCAGAACAAACTGGATAATGAAATGATTACTTTTAAATGAAACTGTTGCAGAAGCGTACATGTTTCAGCTGGCAAGTATCTTCTCGATACTCTCACATGCACATTCACACACTCAATAATTGTAAATTCTCAGACTGAAATTACAGATACTCTGAGGTTTCTGGTGGCAAATTAAAAATCCCACAGAAGCAAAGCTCGGGTGAGTTAGGTTCCTCAGAACATACAGGAATATATCTGTGGCTCTTCCTATTAAATATGCTTTTTTTTTTTTTTTAAATATGGACACATCAGGTTTAAATGTATTCTCTTTGTCTCACAGCTATAAAATGCAGGGTTTTGTATAGTGGATTATTAAGTTAGGTAAGATAAAATAAAATCCGTCCTCTGAATCAGACCCAGATTTCTGTATGTAGGATCGCTGTTCATGGTCTAACATAAATACCCCATTAGCAGCATGTATTATAACTGCAGGTAGACAGGCAGGGATTTGCTGTGCTAGATGCTGTGTATGTATAGATGTTCCTGATACGAATAAGTCAGGGGCTTGTTTGTGTGTCTGTACCCAACTAAGAAACTCATGGTGAGAATCCTTTCATAGGTGGAGCACAGGGACCTATGTGTCCTGGTGCGCGCGTGTCTATTCTCTGTCTGCAGTGATGCGGTGTGGGAAGCAGGGCTAGAGAGTGGCATGACTGAAAGGACCAAGAATTGTGTTATGAACCGCATCCCAGGGCAGATCTGGGCTTTAGGTGTGAGCTCTGTGTGTGCTATCCCAAAACATGAGCTCTTGCCGCATGTCTGCTCCATGGTAGCCTGGGCTGTGGGACTTCCGAATGGGAAACTCAGGCAGGATCGGTCTCAAAGTGCATTATTTTGAGTTATACTGGGGATAATGTGCTTAGCCTTGGGTGGTGGTTCCAGAGCAGTGTTGGGTAAGATGGCAATTCCGTGTCTTTCAGGGGTCTCGCTACATTTCCAGAATGTGTCCCTGTCATTTAAAATTAGTGAATACTACGCACAAATCGTTAGTGTTGCAGGGAAGTTCTTTTCAGTTACAGTAACAACATTCAGCGTCAATACTGCTTTAATTACATTTTCTTTTATGTTATCTTGGCACCTCATTTTATGTAGGGATCGCATTCCTAATGTGTTCAAAACCCTGTAGGATCCCAAACTTTATAGCCGTTGCTTTCCGTAAAGCAGCAGCTCTTACCGCAGTAGGTCTGGCTCTAACAATGATGCATTTTGAAATTGCCTGCAAAACGTGAAATATGTCTGCTCTAATAAAAACGGAGGTTTTAGGCCAGTCTAAGGATTTTTAATGTATTTACGGAGAAGAGATGCCTTCTATTTCTTCAGCTGTATTTTCATAAAGTTGATATATTTCGCTATTAGGAAAGATGGAGGAAATAAATCTGCAATACTTGTTCCCCACCCATTTTTGCTTCAGCTGTTCTCATCCATAAGATATAACGGATGCTAATATGGCTCAGGCATCTTAAAAATCATAAGTTTTGCACGATAGCTATTGTCTATTGCAGTGAGCCCTCATGAGTCAAAATCCTTCCTTCAGAGTTCGACTCTGTTTATATTTTGCTTTTCCCCCCAGTACTTTAACTCTGGATGCAAATGTTTTTTTCTGTTGACTTCTCTATCATTCTCTGATGTCTGCAGACATCTGATCAGCTCTCTATTCTGTGCATAGCACGGCCCTTCTTGGCAGCTACACACATGGAAAAAAAAATGTTATCAATAAGTTCAGAGGAGCCTCAGCACACTCGGAGAAAATTCACACAAACATAAAACAAAACCTAACCCCTGTGCCGGGGAAAGTTTATGTTGCGCCAGATTTTAGCAGCTTTCTTGTGCCTTTGGTGAGATGTCAGAAGCGCAGGTGATATTAATTTTCTTGTACAGAGAGGAATGGAGAAGTTTGGAATTTGCATGCATGATCAGGACCTGTGTTTGGGAAAATGTAAACTCATCACAGTGGAAAATGTGTTGTTTGGAGTCTGAGGGTGAAAACAAAGCTGAGGATTTTGGAGAGACTGCCTGAGCCAGATGGCCTGGTGCATTCCCAGTCTGGCAGCCCAACTGCTCCCTCCTGTATAATATACAGCCATTTGTTCTGGGATATTTACGCTAGAGCTGTTTCCATGTGAATGTTTGAAAACCATTAAAAATGAACATATTAGGAGAGATAAATTTATTTAATTTGTGTGAATACGTCGATAAGCAGGCTGTGTATCAAAGGCAGAGGGAGCCTGCATAAAATAATTAGATGCTTCTGAATTGTGCATTGAGAGAGACAGCAAGAGCTAACTGTCTTCGCCCCAGGACCGAGTGCTGTGCTACTTGTCTGGGGTAAACCTCACTAGGATGAGTCAAAATTCTGCCTGGGGAAAGAGTAAAAGCTTGGGTGATTAAGGGTTAAGTATTCAAAGCCAAATAAATGTATTTCACAGTATTTTCTGCGTAGATATATAGCGGATACAAGCCTAATCCTCTCTGGGTGAAATTCTGGCCCATCTGAAGTCAATTGCATAGCTCCTATTGAATTCGGTGGGGCCAGGATTTTATTTTCTCTCTGTGTGTATGGCTGTATACGTCATTCCAAATCATTCTAGTTCTGTTTTTGAAAGGACCCTCATTTTAAACAACTTTTTCTCTCTCCTTTATTTCAATAATGAAGATAGTTTTTGTTTTGTGAAACAGATGAGGAATTTGAAAGCAAGTGGATTTCGGTGCACGTTGCTGATTTCTCTCCTTCTCTTACTCTCTTAAAATCAAGGCCATAACTGAACAATATAATGACCATGATCTCATTCCTTCAAGATTGTTTTTCGTCCAGTTCAGAAAGCAGGATTGCTTGACTGGCAAACTGACACCATGAAATGATCCTGCCCTCACTTCTATCAGCATAAATCTGGATTTAGTCAGGAATAGTTAAGGACAAAATCTGGCTTTATATTTTTCCAGCTTATTCATCAACTCTTTTATAGCTCTATCCTGCCATCTTTACTGGGGAAAAAGTGGCTTAAATGAGAACTGTGCTCCTGACTTTTATATTATCCCCCTTCCTTTTATTTCATTTTATGACATTTTTGTAAATGAACCTCACTGCTGTAAAGTTTAGGCAAACCACTGAACGCACTTGTCATCTAGAAGTGACTGCGGAGGGCTCAGTTTAGTATTTTTATTTGCTGGCAAGCAGTGAATTGCATTTGATTCAACTTTTTATGCAGCTTTATTTAAATGGAAGTGAAAAAGCCTTCTATTTCGACATTAATTTTTTGGGGTCTCATTTTTTAAGTCCGTTGGTGCCCGAGTTATCGTTACTCACTGGGGCTTCTTGTAGAAAGCTTACTTGGAGGAGTAATGGTTTACGAAAATGGAAGATGAATTCTGTGGGGAAATATTTAAGCTGTTCATGAGGAGCAAAGTTATTTTGCACCACGCAGGAAACAACACCGAGTTTAAACTACGCAAAGTAAACAAAAAGAAAAAAGCAAAGTCTACAATCGTGCAGTTCCTTCGCTGGTGTTTTGTTGTGCAACACCAGTGTGTATTTGCAGGCTTATTTTTAGCTCTGCTGTGGTCTAAGTTTATACACTATAACTTTCACTTTATCTCTCATTAATGTGATCCCTATTTGACAAAATCACGATGGTGTCAGCACGACAAGGAATCCCGCCGCCACCAGCCCATTTTAAAGCCTGAACTTTAAAAAAATAACAATAATAATAAAATATGTATTTTTAAATAGGGTAAGTTTTCAGATTTTGCAGTTAAAAATCTTCACAACAACAACGTTGTAGACCCTTCCTGTAAAAATACTCCTGGCAGCTATAATGATCTGAAACTTTAGCAGTTCCTGTTTCCTTTTTGAAACTAATTGTAGAATTAGTGCTTTAGAGCAACGCAGTTTGCAGGAGGGCAGAGTAGCTGCAATGCTCTCAGGCAGCCATTCATGGAAGTAAACAGTTGGCGCTTTACACACCCGTTCGCGCAAGTAAATTAGGACATAGGAATGGGAACTGGGGATGAGCTGCTTGGAAATGAGCTCGGCAATTTCTCCTGCTTCCTAGAATTTCCTAGGAATTCCAGCAGGAATAGGGTATGCGGGAGTATCTGTGCTTAATGCGGAGAAAACACAATGTGGATGGGTGCAACATCGGTAATTAAATGCAAATAAAGTGAAAAGCAAATCCGTAACGTTAGAGGAAGGCAGAAGAATGTCATGCACGCAAAGAAAGGGATCACTGATGCTAAACACAATAGACAAGGTGATTATGTACCACAGTGTTGACTCTGCCCGTTCATTATTGCTATTTAGTTGAGTTATTTAAGCGGGTACCTGGAGGTTAAGTAAGCACAGCAGCAGGAAGAGAGAGGGGAGGGGAAAAAAAGAAAGTAAATGCTGTGTTCTGGTTTGTCATTTCTCGCGCTTCCTTGGCTTCACTGGCAACAAGATAACCCATAGTGGGTAAATTTATTTTATTTTCCTGAAGTCTTAAGAAGAGCAGGCCAAGTTGAGCAGTCCTCTCTGAGGCACTGTTCATGCTGTGATTGTCTAGAGGTGAATGGGCACTGGAGGTGTTTGTCTCCACTAATAGCCTCAAGGGTAGATCTGTTCTTTACCCCCATGCTCTGCACTCTCAGAGGCAGATTATTCTTTAATTATTAAGTCTGAAAAGTGCCATGAGCTTCTCCCTTGCCTGACCTGTCCTACTGCTAAGGGGGTTTGGGGTTTTCTGGAATGTTTGCAGTGTCCCCGCTGACCAGCCCCGTCAAGTGTCAGCTGGTTCCTTTGGTTCCCTGGTTTTGGCTGAAGGTTCTTCTCCCCATCTTCCCCTTTAATGCAGGAAATGAGGATTGTTAGAGTTTGTCCCACCTCCTGCTGTAAGCACATGGATGAACTTCCAGGGCTTCTTGCAAACCATCTATAACTGTCTTGGGCACTGAAGTGGAAGTGCCTCAAGGTGTGGGCCAGCAATTGAGCAGGGACATAGGGTCCTAGCTGGTGTCAGGGGGGCTTGCTGGTGTCTGTGCTGCAGTGACTACATTCGTCCTGTGACAATTTTTATGTCCCCTTCATATGAGTCCTGGGTTCACAGGATTTGTGCCTCACTGGTGGGAATGAGGGGGTAGAAGTCGAATGAGGCTCTTTACCTATTAGCTGCAATGACACCGCCGGCCTCTGTTTTATCAACAGAAACCCCACTGGCTCTCAGGCTTCAGGGGAATGGGTTTAGCAAAACAGAAATGAAAAAATTAAAACTAGCAAAGCTAACAGAGCCCCATTCCTGATTTTTGTTTTTTAATCATTAAATAATTTATAATGCATAATATTAATATTGCTTGTTACTATTAAAATGGTGTTAAGAATCAGCTCATGCTTCCTCAAATTTGTATGTCCTGAGATCTGTGCCTCCTTTGCAGGTACAGCACCTCTTACCCTTGGTGGGTTATATCTGTAAGGGCTGGGAAAGCAGTTCGTATGATATTACTCCAGTATTTATTGCACGAATAAGATAACTTATTTTTTCTCAGTGTTTTCCACACTTCCATTTTAAAGTGGTCTCATTCCATAAAATGTATTTCATCCACATAGCATACTTTTGGGTTTTATTTTCAATATATAGTTTATAGTTAGCTTTATGTATACCCATACCAGGTATAATTTTATTTGCAGAGTTTGTCCCCCAGTTTCTTCTTTTTAAGTCTGTATTTTACAAGCTGAAAAGGTCCAGGGTAAAGCTGATACTCAAATACAGGGGTGGTCATCCCTCCAAGTCTGGGGCTCTAACCATTGATCTTATAACTACAGTGGCACCCTAAAAGATTTAGGAACTTCAATGCCATCAAAAGATGGTGCTATAAAGGCAGTTTCTTTACACTTTTATTTTGTTGCTGGGGGTGTGGTGCTTGGGACCAGGGGTGGTTAGAAAATATCACTCTGTCGTGATCAGATGGAAACCCTGTACTGGGCGGGCTGTGAGTGCTTAATCCACTTAGTGTGTATGCCGATCCCTCACTGTCTCTGCTGGTTCTGCTGCTGGAAGCATTGCAAATGTAAACTCTTCCTGCAATGTGAACGCAGTGTTTCCACAGTTTCAACTTTAAGGATTCTCCCTGTGCTGTCTCAGAGTCAAATTTCTCAAGCTGGTTGATCCTCGGTTTGTTTTGGTATCCTCTGCTCTGGTAGGGCCTGCTTCTCACTTATTTATACCCCTGTAACTCCAGAGCCGCTCTCTGGGAAGTGGTGGATCATGAGGTTCAAGGGGAGAATCAGGCCCAGGCGCTTTCTCAGGAGCTACCAGGAAAATGCTTGGGCTGTGCAGCTTTTGTAATTAAAAATACATGAGCACTCTCTTTTCTGCCCTTATTTTTATTTCTTTTTTAATGAATAGGGCCCAAAGTATATCCAGCCTTGTCCTTTTTTTTTTTTGCCTTTTTTTTTTTCTTTTAATGCTATTAGGTTTATATTTTATTCTGAATTGAAAAGAAAATTGTGGTTGTCTTGACTACTAAAAAACCCCATCCTACACACCACTTCAGAGACGTGCCACGGAGAGGAGGGAATTTAGCTGTACTTGCGCTCTGTTGTTTTCCAACTGAAGGTCTCGGAGCAGGTTCGATGGAGGCACTGTCCCTTTAGCCTGCAGCTTGGCTCCCAACTCTGGGCTGTGCCATTGGCTACAGCGATGTGTTTTTGTTTACTCCAAACCCAACCTGATGCACAGCTAAAAATGTGTTTTGCTTCTAGGCAATAGTATACGAAGGCCAAGACAAGAACCCAGAAATGTGCCGAGTTCTGCTCACGCATGAAATAATGTGCAGGTAAGAAATACCCCTCTTCCAGTTAATTAGTGATGAGAAGATGAATCTGTCTCTCAAAATCTAGGTTGAACCTGCAGCTATTTTTGGACCTAAATTTATCTTTCTTGCATTAAACAATCCCAAAATAACCCAGTTCAGTTTGTGTAATTAGCAGCAAGGTCTCAGCCGTCACACTAGTTTTCAATTATTTATAAAGAGTTGTTCTTCGCAGAACACTACTGGTTTTCATTTAGACATTGTAGCCCATAAAAGGTCTCCTCACCAAAATTAACAGTCGATTATAGTCTTCTAGCAATAAACGTCTCTGCCCCCAGTTCCCAACAGAACCTCCTCAGTAGAATGACAAAATAGTAATTTCTGTATTTTTTTCTCTGGATGTGATGAGACTCGAGGTCAGGAGGGCCAGTCTTAACCAGTTGCTGCTCATGCAAGGTCCCTGCTCAGCTGGAGCGGGGCAGGTGATACTCCTCCATGCAAAAGATGTCTTCCTGTTGGTTTTCTATAAAAGGCCTTGTGCAGATTTGGCTCTGCCTTGTGCTCTCTGCCCCTGAACATGCCTGCTTGGGGTTGGTCACTTGAATTCAGGACAGCCAAATATCTTCTCTCCTGAACACGATACTTCTGCAGCTGCTTTGTTCTCTTTTCTGGCCAATTGAAATAGGTGAAGCCTTTTCTACTCCCCTTTTACTGCAGAGAAGGCAGCATCTTCCCACAGAACCTTCTAGCACCTAGGAGAGCTTGACCTCATGGTCCCACTAAAGTTAGTGGATATTTTTTGCATGTCTGAAAAAATCATTTGTTACATGTTATTCGATGGCAGAAAAGAATTCCCTTGTGGAAGATGAGGCGTTCTTGCATAAGCTCATTGTTACAATCAGTTGTTTTAAGACTGTAAAAATGCCATTGCATGCGTTGTAACTTTTACAAAATGCATTTACTAAAAAGGAGTAACTTGAGGGTAAAAACTAGTACCCACTTCTAAGAGGAGAAACTTGGATGAGGGTTTCCTGGTGGGGGACAGACTTAGAAAAAAGTATTCAGATGGAAACTTCTCTGTTGGTTGATTTTTATTATTTTTTATTATTATTATTATATTATTTCTTTTCTGTCTTGGGGATCTCCATATTTTGTCCTCCATGGCAGCTCCTCCCTGATAAAAGTTTACTGCAGGTCAATACCCTGCGATGCCAGCAGAGAAGGAGCTGCTCCGCTTGCTTTGCCAGCCTGGGTAAAACCCCACAAAGCCCCTCCAAATTATTCCTTGCAGCATTTGGGGATTTCAGTTTCCATATTGTATTTTTCCAGGCTGCTTCATTCATGATTTGGTTTCTTCCAGGAAACCAGAGATACCCCATTGCAGTCTAAGAACTATCAGAGTGCATGGATATCTCCAAGAGGTGCCAGAGCTTCTTGCTGCTGGTGGGAGCTGCAGTATTGCTTTGCTTGAGGACTCTGGGCCAGTTCTCCCTTTCCCAATGGAAACCCAGTCCTGCTGACAAGTCATAATTGCCCTAAAATTTGTTGCCCCAATTAGCACCAGTTTCACACTAGATACCTAGCTAGGACCAGTTCATGGAAATATTACAGGAGGCCCCTGACCTGATAAGGCTGAAGTGTGTGCTTAGCTTTTCTCTAGTAGTAAACCAGTAAAACAGTGGGGCCGTCCATGTGAGTAAAACTAAGCACGTGCTCAAGTGCCTGCAGTGTCAGGTCTGAAACTGCTGCTCGTTCCTCATACTTAAACGACAAGGTTTTTGAGCTAGGAGTTACATCTGCCAGCCGCTCTGAGCTATCCATCCAAGGGTAAAGACTGCCTACTTCAATGTATTAATTTTCTTACTAACACTTTAGAAACATAAAGAGTAAAAAGTAAATTAAAACTTCCTATGGAGGGCTGAGTTCTAACCAGAGGACCAAATAACCACATCAAAGATTTACGGACATTCAGTATACTTTGAGACAAAATTATTTCCATTCTGGGAATGTGGAAATATATGCAGTCATTCCCTTTATTAAAGCACTTTACACTTCCTTTGTTCTTAAAATTGACTGGATCAGGAGGTTTATTCTTCTCCTTCTATTTGTTTACTGCTAGATGCTGCCTTGAGTTTCATAAGCATAAGGCAGAGCACTAGTAAAAGAAATAATAATCTGACCATAGCAGGTAAATGTTGTATGCCTGATGGGGTGGGGGAGATATATTCAAATGTCTTATAGCTCATATTAGATATTACCCATTTCCTTTTCTGCCTATACATGTGTAAGAGGGTGCTGTTTGTTTACCAGGCCGCTTGACCCTATTGCACAAATCTGTCATCTATTGTGCTGCTAACACTCTTTTAAATTGCAAATCTGATGCTCTTTAGGGGTCTAGAAGGAGAAAAAAAAATCTCTCTCCACACCATTCTGTTTCTCTTGATTTCTTGCCTGTTGTAAGTGGAAGTTGGGATGTGCTGAATTTGCACCAGGGGTGCAAATGCAGCCTCAATTATAAGCATAAAATTAGAGTCTGTTCCCCATTAATCAGCCCAGCTAATTGCTATGCACTACCATTAGCCATATGGTGTGAAAGACAGCTTGCTCTCCCTAAGATGAAATTTCTTCATTTCAGACATGAAATAGTGAGGGCTCTGTATTTTAAAATAGCTTGTTTTAGATATTTAATTTCTAAACAACTTTCAGCAGTGCTCTCTATCAAGGCTAACTGCACAATAAAACTTTGCATTTATGTGACAAAGCTGGGTATTTATAGTATACGACAACTATGGCACGGATAAGACAAAGAATTCAAATGTATAGGAGAATCCTGGTTGTGGTAGGAAAGTGGGCTGGTGTTTGCTTCAGGTAGTGGTTTATTTCGAAGGATTTCATTGTGTTTTGTCAAATATAAAACACTGTTGGCGAAAATGTTAATAGCTGGGGAGAATTCACAGCCTCAGTGGAATTTATTAGTATTGTAGGCAGCATGGGGAGGGACATCTATAGTTAATATTGCCTCAACAATTTCCATTATGAAACCTTCAGTGGCTTACAGCTTTGCCAAACTTAAACTGTTCTGGCTGAAACGTCCTTTGCAGGGTGTCAGCCTCAGGCTGACTTTCTTTGGAAAGTTTCAGCTAAAATGGTTCAGTGATTTCTGAGAATGAGGTTGGAGTAAAATATGGGTTTTGTCTGTGTAAAATACAGCCTTAGAGCCATCTTGGCAAGAACCTCCCGCACCTCCATGCTTCAGGGTGAGGAGCCTTTTTGGGGCAGGGCTCGTCCCGACCGCATCATCTTCAGGATGAAAGCCACCTCACTGGGAGCTCCTGCAAAATCTCCCACATGGACTTGCTAACGACTTGTTAGAGCCTGGCAGCTGAGTGATCGGAAAGTCGCATTTGCGCTGGCCACATGCCATCGCCCCGTCATTTCTCATTGTTTATTGTCCCCACAGAAAGCCCAAGCACAGATACACAAAGCAGGGCTCCTCTCGCGAGTGATGCTCCTGCCCACCACAGCAGGGGAGGGATGAGAGGATTTGGGGGTGCCAGACATTGGGGTGAGCAGGCCACCTCCTGTGTGCCCACAGAAGTGCCGGGTAGTGCAGGCTAGAGATGGTCCAGCACAGGGAAGTGAAGAGGAAGATAGGGAGCAAGACGGCAGGAAGGCAGCAGGTCCCCAGAGATGTGCGGTGAGGACAAAGGCAGCAATAAAAACTGGGAGTGGTGGTGGCAGCCAGCAGATGGGGAGGCCTGTGAAGGGGTAGGACGGGGATGGTGTGGGGCTTGGGCAGGAGCCCTGTGAATGGCAAGGATGGCAATTGGAGTGGGGTAGACAGAGATGGGGGGCAGGAGCAGGATGAGGTTGTGATGGGAAGAGGTTGCATTACTGTCTAGAATTACTTGTTTTAAAAGTGAGCTGCCCCCAAACATACTAAGTTTTGTAGGCTTTTTTTTTGTTGGCCAACATGGCGTTGTGCCTGAAACCTGGCTCCTTGCCCCACTTGGGGAGAGGTGTCATGGAAGAACAGAGAGGACGAGACCTTGCCCCCCTGGCTGCAAGCAGCTGGCACTCAGCAGCTCTTCCTAAGCTTTTTCAGAGCCTTGCTGGGAGCCGGAGGGTTCTGGGTGACTTGGAGAAGCTCCTGGGAATTTTTAAATTCCTTCAGGGAAAAGAGCACTGAATATTTAGGATCTTATTTCCAAGTGTTAAGTAGGCACTAAAACTTTTGAGGCAAGTACTTCTCATGCAAGCAGGTCTCAGACTCAGGGTTTGCATGATGTTTTAATTCTCTGCATAGAAAAACTAGGGTAGAGGAAGCCTTGAATTCTGCTGTTGAGAGATAAAAACACAAAGACAAGCTAAAGTTTAAAAAGTAATTATCTAGAACATGAAAGAACATTTGGAGCCTCCTTTCAGAGAGCAGGATGTGTCAGACGTGCACCTCTTCCACACCACCCTCAAATTGCAGTGCAAGGAGTGAGGACTTCTACAGTTGCTCAGGATTATGGGGTGCACTCTTTGGAAGCCCTGCCCAAATGGGGCGGATATCCGATGAGCAATGCAGTCTTTACTCAGTTCTTGAAGCTGGGTTGTCCCCATTGGCCAGTGCCTGACTCCATCCTGCTTGCAGCAGGAGGTGAGTCCAAGGTGTCCCCATCTCCAGGCCCCTGCCGCCACTTCTCCCTCTAGGTTAGTGCCCAGGAAGATGCTCTGAGCCTTGTGGTAAATGGATGGTGGTATCTGCCCATCTCGTGCTGGGAGCCTGGGAACCTTTGCTCGCCTGAGTAAATGTGGCAATTTCTGTCCCTCCAGTCTGCTGTGAGAATGTCAGGACTAGCCCTGATTTGCTTCAGTCACAAGAACTGCATTGTCTTAACTTGTGCCAACTCTGTTTCTAATTACATTTTAATCATTTAAAAATGATTAGCAGTTTTTATTGCCTTGTTTGTGGGTAAATTTTCTCACCCCACACATTCTAGCTGCACTCCAACGACAAGTCCTTTTATAGGCAAAACAGCCCCCCGAACGTCCACATGACTATTTACCTACAGCATATTTTATTCCTTCCTAAATTTTAATGCTTTCTGGGTGCCAAGACTCTTGCATTTTCTGGTGGATCAATTGTGGTATTGTGCTGTAAAATTAAGCAGTTTTTTTTGGCAATCCCAGACAATGTAACTTCCACCGAAATGAAGATACCGCACATGTGTTAACTGTGAAAAGTTTCAGCCCTGAATAGTTGCCTTGAAGCTCTTTGCGGTGAAAAGAATTATGTATTTTCCTCTCTTTGAAAACAATTTTTTTTATTTTTTTTAAGCCATGTTTAAACAGGCTGGTTTTGTAAAAGGCCCCCCCCCTTTTTTTTTTGTTATCTTTAGTGTGGTTACTTGCTTTATTGCTAATCTTGGTGGGTAACTGTATATTATTCACTCTATTGTTCAGCAACACAAGAGAACCTTTGTCATATTCCCAACAGGATTATTTATATAGCATGGCACTTCTGAGGGCTTCTTCCTGCCCTGATGTTTTCCACCTTCTAGGGAAAAGAAAGTAGTTCATCTGAGTGGGAGCCATAGTTGCTCTTGCCAGCCACCCACTGAAATGAAAGCGATGCGCAGGTCCCTGGAACGCTATTTGGAACAAGCTTGGTGGTTTCCAAAGATCTGGTTGTGTGTGGTTGAGGTTTACCAGGAAGTTTATTAAATGGAGGCATGTGCTCAGGTCTGGCCAGGGAGAGCAGAGTGGTCCTTGCTGCCTGTCACCATGGGATGGGGTCCCTGCAGCTGCATAGAAGCTGCCCAAGTTTGATCCAGAAGCTCTTTGGGGGGGACCAAGGAGGGCTTGCGAAGACCAGGAGTTCTTGATTAATTTTTTTTTTTTTATTCCTTGAAGCCTTGACTTCAGTGGAGGATTTTGTTTCAAGAGGCATCAGCAAACAAGAGCTTTCCTTGCTAGATGGGTGTTTCCCCCCTGGGGTGGGTGGAAGCCTGAGGATTGGTCACCTATGTAGCTATGACAAGGTCTCATGGGTTTGGATGGGCTACAGGGTGAGCAGGGCAGCCTATATGTCACTCAGCCACAGCTCTAGATGCACCAGGAGGGATTTCCACCCTGAGCAGAAATGTATATGCTGCCTGTGAGCTTACCTGCAATATATCTGTGGCTCCTAATGGACAGTAATCCCTGACAAGGAATTGTCACAAACAACAATTTAACTTCTCTTAGGAAACAATGAGCCACCTTACTTCAAAAGAATCCCAGCCTCGAGGTCAGCAATGGAGCAATGCTTTGGGAGACAGAGCTTATTTTTCACATGCCTGCTTTGTATCTGACCTGACGCAGGGCACCAGCCGCTGGAGCTGTGCTCTCCGTGGCATTAGGGATTGTTAACATGCTCAGAAAACTTGGGGAAACAGGCACGCTCGAGCATAAAAGAACTGCTGCCAATGGCACTTGCATTTCGGCTCCCCCATTAACAACAGTGTTTCTTGGAGAATAAGCATTTTCAGATTTCAGGGGGAGGTTTTCTGGTAGCTGAGAATTGTGTAGAAGTAGGAATATCTTGTGGATGTGTAATGTAAGTGTTAAGCAAATGTAAAAACTAGGCTCAGCATGGAAAAAGCTGCCTTATTTTGTGTGCGAGCGTCTGTGGCACAACTGTTCAACCCCATGGCAAAGAGGCTACGAATAGGCAGGTCTCCCTGTTTCGGGTGATCCTTGAAATATTATTTGTGAAAGGGCCAAAACCCCTCTCTTTTTATATTTTCCGTTGCTAACCAGCTGTGCAAGAAGTTAAACATAGTAATTAACCCATATGTGACCCACTACATTTGACTGATTTCCAGGCAGGGACCGAGCGGTAACTCTAGCCGGCAATTTGAACCTACCATGTTCGTAATGATGATTTTACAGTGTAATGGTTGCACTAAATCCTTTCGCTTTTGCTCTGTAGCCGCTGTTGTGACAAGAAAAGCTGTGGCAACAGAAATGAGACTCCATCAGATCCAGTGATAATTGACAGGTAAGGACTGCTATTGTTTCCTTCCATTTTTTTTATCCCCCCTCCTCATTATAACGAAACACCTGCCCTGTGTTGCTAATGGGGAAGAATTAGGAGTATGTATGGATGAAATTTCGTTTTTGATACTGAATTAGTTGTGCTTTGCAATTGCGATTGCCATGGAAGGGCCATATGGAGGATAATGGAGTGACCTGCTCTTTGGAGGGCTTCAGTTCTTGTAACTGATTCATGTGCATAAAGAGGAGATTTTTCTTTCTGACTTTCTGTGGCTCAATTCACATGCTATGCCAGGGAAGCTTCAGGAATAAAATAATAATAGTTTTTGATTTATGAAATGTGGTTGGGTGCTTATAAATATTTAACTTTTATTTGAAAAATGTTTGAATCATTATCACTTAGCTACAGTAGTTCTGTTGGATGCAATCCATCTACATTTTAAGGCTTTTATTTATGCATAAAACCAGTTAAAAAATAGATCTGCAAAGTAAGGTTTTTCTCCTCCTCTTATTTTCTGTGGTTGGAATACTGTTTTGACTGTATTGTCAGCTGATCAATTCATTTTTGCCTGTCTTAATTGCCGTGTTTTTAAACAGATTCATATTACTAATCTGACATCACCATGTAAATCACTGTAGTACAATATATCTATTTTAGTTGTTCCGAGCCATGCATAGTTTCTGTGCTTGCAAATTATGCAAAATGGTAGCCAAATAGTCATTTTTACATTTTCATTGTCCAAACTCATTGTACAAAGCCATGTGCAATAACCTGGCTATTATGCAGCATTACTCTAGAAGAGTTAAATGGCCATGAAGTACTGAAAGTGTCTGTCATCACCTAGGGAAAGCAATACCCTTGCACTAATCTGTGAATAGAGGGAGCCTGAAGGGAAACTACCTATACTTATAGGGGCAAGAGCATAGAATAGTGTGCTTCTCCTTGCATTGTTGTCTGAGTTAAGGTTTGCTATACTCAGTTTAAAGTATTTTCTGTGCCAGGGCATCCATGTTAGAGGTGAAGAGGGTTTGGTGCGTTGGGTGCCCCACACAGAGAATGGTCCAGGGATAGGGCAGAGCCTTGCCTAGCATTGTGCTCATCCAGATTTACAGTTCTTGTTTGAATTTGGTAAGAAAGTGCATATATTGGAAGCTTATATCAGGTGTTTTGATTAGCTATAATAAGTGATCCTGAGAGTGTTTAAATCTCAGAAGGTATATCTATTTTAACTAGGCATATTTTCATCTTCTGTGAGCATTAGGTAGTAGCAGAGAAAGTGTGTGTGGGGAAAAATTCACAGTGAAATCTGTATGGAGATGTGTTTTATAAGCATGGTACAGAGCTGAACACTATAAACATGGTGTTAGAGTGGCATTTTGAGCAACATGAAAGCTACAAAATTCACATGAATTTTTCATTGTACTGGAAAGTGAGATGTTAAGATGCTAATGGCAGGTTTACAGAAATATTTTGTTTAACTATCTAGTATGCAAAACTGCTAGTTGCAAATCATTTCAGATTATGAAAGCCAGAGATGCTGTCTGTTACACACTTTCTGCAAAATGAGGAAAACTGTTACATGGAAAAAACAGATTTAGGCTCCTAGCAGTGATCAATTTCTCAGTCTTTACCTAAATTGATGCAAAAGGAATGAATTCTGAAGATTATTTTGAAAAGGCAAGCTAAACATAATTTGAAGATGATAATACAAACCCTACCTCACCACCTGCTCTGAATCATGCTTGGCTTGTGAATGGGTTAAGCTTTTAAGTTCTTCACTTGGTTTTAAATTGTGACTTTGATACAGAAGGCTGATATGACTGTGGTTTGAATAACATTTGATTTTGACCTGTTCCTGTGGGTTGCAGTGGTATAAGAAATTTGACTCAGCAGTACTGTAATTAGCCCTCCCCGTGTTTTTGAAACAGGATTGTGTTACCTGGATTGCATTAGTGTGGCTTCTATTGTTGCCGCTTCGCATCTGTCCCAGTAGGGTACTTAAAACCTTTTCTTGGCTGGGGCTAGTTCAAACAATTTAGGCCAAATAAGTATGTGCTTTATACAGTTAGTGGCTTTAGTGATGTTTCTTGTGACATTTATCCTATTCATTTTTTTTCTCCCTTTTGGTTCGGAAAGGATGAAGTGATCTATATGGAGCCTTTTTACCTTAAAACGAGTCCTTTAGAATTGTCCTAACTTTAAAATGCCTGCACAAGCCAGAACATGTGTTTAATTGTACTCCATTGTCACTTCTCCATGCGTGCAATTTTTAACTATTATGTCAATTGATATGCAAAACCATATTTAGCTATTTTTATTTGCATGTGAGCTTAGAGAATTCATTTACCATTTGGGCTAAAGCACTCCCACATGCCTTACACTCCGATAAAGTCTTGCCTATGGATTTAATCTAACTGTTGCGTCAAATCCTGTGAATCCACAGACTCTGACCTAACATAGAGCTTAACGTAGAATCTGTCCATGGGATTTTTGACATATGTACTTACATGGAAATGCTATCCTCCTCTTACATGCTGCAATACTATTTTGGATTGATTAATTCTCTTTGATGAGGTTAGAGAAACTTGGGGTAGAGAGAGCTCTGTCTTTGTGGTGGTTTAGTGAACTTGGCAAAGAAGCTGTTTGGCAACTTCAAAGTTACATGTGTTGTATTCTTTTTCAAACCCTAGATATGAAAAGTAAATCGCACATTTCAAAATGTGGGATTTAAAAAAAAAAGTCTGTTTGAAACAGGATATCTTTATCCTTTATGAAATTGCTTTATACTTCGCTCTATTATGGTATCAGCAGATACAGCAGTGAAAGGGACGTAGAGAAATTTATACTCATGTAGTGATCTAAATTTTCTCTGGAGAACAAAATAAACCTATTATGCTTATAGAGCAGTCATTTCAGGGAAGTTTCTTGGAAACCTGTGTGTGTCTGAATCATCTTCTTAGCATAGCCTGTATATTTTATCACTAATCCAGTTACATGTGTTGAGATGAAGATCTGATGAACAGGAACTCATTTTAAAAGGGATATTATTGTCACAATACAAATGCACAATTCCTCCTACAAGTGCAGTGGCAGGGCTGTATTGTAATCCTGCTTAAAGAAAACACAGAGCACTTCCTGTTATTAAATTAAATTCTAGATTGATTTAACTTTCAAATTGTAACTCATATTTGAATTTAAAAGGTTTGCAATAAAATTCCTGTGAAGAAATTGAATAAATTGTAGTTTTATTGCCACTCTGGATATCCTGGTGTCCTAACCTTTTTCCTTACAGTTACCTTAGTTCAATAAATAAAACCTCATTAGACTATTCCCATTTCAACGAGTTTATTAAATTTTACAGGAGTAATTAGCATAAGCTGTGCTAATTTTTCTGGAAGACTAATGAGAGAGCTTCCTAATTAGGTTTGCTTTGTAAGAATCGGAAAAGATGATAATGACAAAAGTCACATAGGGGAGAAAGTGGGGCTTTATATTATTCCTTGGTTCAGGAAAGAGACTCCTCTCTCCGCATTCTGCTCCAAACTTTTAAACCCAATTTACCAGTGCAGGATTGCTATTTAATGGTGTTACTTGTGCCTGCTGGGGCTTCTTTACCTTTTATGGCTGCATCCAGTAAACAGGAGTCCTAGTGACTGATAAAATAGGAATAATCACTGCAATCCCAAATATAGCGGCAGAAAAATCTCAGCATTTAGGGCCTATATATATATATATATATATACCTCCAACTTGTGACTTTGCATGGAAGAAGGGCTGAAACCAGCCCATTTGGCAATTGCTGGTTCATCCCAACTTTTGCTGCTTCCCAGAGTATGCAAGCAGGCAGATGACAGTGACCTGAAATTGGCTTTGCTGAGATTTACCAAGACAGATGAGACCTACTTAAGAAATCTCAGCTCTGTCTATCTTTTGGATAGAGGAACTTTAATTGTGGTGTAAGTCAACAGGCTTTGTGTTTTAGCTCCCCCGGGTAGAGACTGTGTGCCCTTAGGTGGTAGGTGAGCATGGTGATGAGCAGGGTCTTTTCTTGCCCTTGCCTGGCAATATACTGAAGTTCTTCACGTGCTGTTTTGGATGCAATTTCTGAGCAATGAGGCTCACTCTGGCTTTGAAGAGGTGGTTTATGCATTTCCAGCGCAAGCAGAGCTCTTGTCTATGGAGCAAGAGTGGGGACTCATAAATTGGAGGCTGTAATATCTTCTAAGCTTTATTATCAGATGACACCAAGGTATATTTTAATACATGACCTGCTACCAGTGTTTGAAACGCCTGTGTGCTTTTGGCACCTGCTGTATGGGGTGCTCAGCCAGGCTCTCAGTCATCTGTCCCCAGTACACCCAGCTGCTGTGGCTGTGGAGGGAGCCAAATCACCTGCATATGTTTTTGAAATCTTTCAGCCTTTAACCTGAAAAACTTTATGTTTGTGGGTAGAATTTCACTGTGCAATGGCATGAAACGAGGAGTGAATGACTTTCAATGTCTCCGTTTTACTGCTTTACAAGTCATCAGGTAGCGGATTGTATTCTACGGGCCTGATCATCTTTTCATCCTAAATACCAGGCAGGTGGAAAAATGACACAGAGGACTGTACCACACTCACTTCGTCCTCCCCACAAATACACTTGTTAGGCAGATGTGGCGATTAATGCATTTTGCAGTAGATTTCCATGGCTGGAGGGAGAGTGATGGAGACGCAGGCTGGCTGGCAGATCTGGCCAGCTTTAGGAGAGATGCTGGTAACAGGGCGAGGCTGGTTTTGCTTGGGAGGGAGCTGCAGAGGATTGCTTTGCTGCAGGGGATGGGATCAGTGCCGCAGCTGATCCCCAGCCAAACTAAAGGGACATGTGCTCATTGTAGCACTGGTGTCACAGCAAAGTGGCAGAAGATGCCAGGCATTATGGCAGTGCTTCCTCTGCAGGACCTCCGGTTCCTGACATGTCCTGGTCATATCCTTGATCCCCCTCACCATATGTGGTACCTGA